TACTACTACTACTACTACTACTACTACTACTACGACTACTACTACGATTACGACTACTACTACTACTACTACTACTACTACTACTACTACTACTACTACTAACAGTAGTGGTTGTCCTCTTCTTCGTCTTCAGTATCCTCCTTGTCCTCCTCCTCTTCCCTTCTCATCCTCCTCCTTCTCCTCCGTCTCCTCCTCCTGCGCCTCCTTTTCATATCCTTTTTTTCCTGCTTCGAATCTAATGTTGCTCCCCCCGCTGGCTGGCCGATGGCGGCCCCATCCGGGCCCTCCCATTGTAACTGAAAAAATCAATACTGATTCGTAATTTTTCTCTCAGCATGGCCTTTCTGCTCGTCGACGATGCGAAATGCGTACCAAGAGTGAAGAGCAGCGCGCATTGCGCGCGGCCGTCACTCGGGGCCCTCCCATCCGAATTATAAAGCAAACAATACAACATCACTGTGTTTCTCTCAGCGTGGCCTGTCTTGTCGTCGACGATGCGAAATGCGTGGCGGGCACGGGACGCGGCGCAAATCGCGCGCGGACGTCAAACCGGACCCTCCCATCCTGACTGGTAAAAATCTATACAAAGTCTCCGCGGTTCCTCTCAACATGGCCTGTCTTGTCGTCGACGTGTAGCAGGAGCGGGACGCGGCGCACATCACGCGCGGACGTCAGGGGCAACCCCAAGCGGGAGCGGCCATCCTACCGATCACAAACTAATACAACATCGACATGTTTCTTCTCAGCGAGGACTTTCTTGCCGTCGGCTTTGCGAAACGCGTGGCAGGAATGGGGCGCGGTACACATCGCTCGCGGCAAGGCAACATGTTGCTCCCGTTTCGGCGCCGCGCGCTTGTTTTCTGAAAATTGCACTTCCGCTAAGGTGCGGCGCACATTTTTCGCTCGCCAATTCGTCGAACGCCTAGGGCCCCCTGGGGCCTCCCAGGGTCTCCTGGTACATCCTGAGGCTTCCTGGGGCTTCCCCAGGGCCTCGTGGATCCTCCTGGGGCCTCCTGAAGCATGGGGGTTCCTGGGAGTCCCCGGGGCTTCCTGACACCTCCGGGGGCTTCCTGGAGCCTCCTGGAACCTCCTGGGGTTTCCATGGCCTTCCTGAAGCCTCCTAGGGCTTCCTGGGGTTCGCTAGGGTTTCCTGCAACCTCCTAGGGCCTCCTGAGGCTTCCCGGGGCCTCCTGAGGCTTCCTGGGGCGTACTGAAATGCCAGCGCAATCTTTGAGACGCGCCAAGAATTTCCCATCGGTAACCACCATCGCGGCTGCATCAGCTGAGGCAAACAACTTTGCCAATCTGACTTCGGTCCCGGGCTGCGCCGGCACAACTTCTTATGCTATGGGAGGGCGGGTGGGAATGGGCATGCCATGCTTGACTCGCTCGAGCTGGCTAGCTTGACTCCTACTCTTACTCCTACTCCTACTCCTACTCCTACTCCTACTCCTGCGTCTGCTTGTCATCCTCTTATTACTATTCCTCCTCCTCCTCCTCCTCCTCCTCTTCCCTCCTCCTCCTCCTCCTACTACTACTTTTCCTCCTCCTCTTCCTCCTCTTCCTCCTCCTCCTTCTCCTCCTCCTCTCCCACTGTTCGTCCTCTTCGTCTCCTTCCTCCTCTTCCTCCTCTACCCTCCTCCATCCTTCTCCCGCCCTCCTCCGTATGACATCCTTGTGAAAGGGCGCCCTCTAGGTTCTTGTGCTGCAGTTTTCGCCCTTGTGGGCGGACATTCGACATTCCCAGACGCTCCTCCTCCTACTCCTCCTCCTCCACCTGACAGCGCAGAAGGTGGGCGCAGGTGAGGCTCTTAAAATGGACTGGCGGTTCCAAATCAGGCCCGGGCTGGCCTCTGCAAAGGCAAGCAGCGCGCCTCCAATGATTTCTGCGATCACAGCAGCCGTGATGGCGGGACGGGCCGTGTTGCCGCTGCTGCTGCTGCTGCCACTTTTCTTCGCTCACCTGGGCGACGAAGAGAAAGGGGCTCTTACGCACGAGGACATGGCACCTTTACGCGATGGCTTAACGACGCAGTCGCAAAATGGTCACCAGATCGCCCAGTAGGTGAATGCAGAAAACCCGTTGGCCGTTGGTGCCAAAGGGCACTTGCTCGGGCCCTCCGGCTCCGTGCGCGCGACCCCCGACACGCAGCCCGATTGCTCACCGAGTCAGTGCGGACCGCAGCCGCCGCCTCCCATAGTGCCACCAGCAGGCACATCGCAGACGGGGTGCGCGCTGCGCGGCTGCGCGCTTGCGCTTGGGAATCCCTGCGCCGCCGAGGACGCGACCAGAGGAGCCTTCCAGGACCGCTGCCGCCTCCAACGTCACCTCCTCCCCAGCCACCAGACGGCAGGTGCGCCCACAAGTGCAGGCTGTCGTCGTGCACGCGCGAAGCCGTCAGCTGCGATTAGACAGGCGAAGAACGGCACAGAACGCACTTTTCCGCCATCGGGGACGCCTGCCCCATGGCAGCTGGAAGGTTTATACCCTGGCGTGCCACAGCAGGAGTATAAACTTTCCAGCCGCCCTGGGACAAGCGTCCCCGGTGGCGGAAAGGTTTACGGTCGGGAGCGTTTGCTTAGCGTGTCGTGGCGGCGGCCCCAGCGACACGCTATGCCTTGCGATTGGATGGCGTGTCGCTCCGCTCCGCGTGGTGGAAGGTCGGGAAGGGCTCGGGACGTTCACGCTTTGGGACTGGGACGTGCATATCGTGTCGCGCAAAGACGTGGTGGGCCAGAACAGGCGGCGCGAAACACACTAAGCCAAAATACCCCAACATGAACTTTATAACCGCCCTGGGGCCAGCGTCCCCGCTGCCGGAACGGTTTGTTTCCTGTCGTTCTGCGACCGCTGAGCTGCGGCAAGGCCCGATGACTCTAGCCTCCTGCCTGCGCCACCTCGTGCAGCTGGCAGGCCCTGCAGACGAGGGCCACCACCTGCGGGTTCAGCGAGTTCCCCAGGGCGGACCACAGCTCGCGCGCCTGCTGCGGGCCCTGTCGGCCCGCGGGCAGCGAGAAGGGCTCGCAGCGGCACTCGCTCGGGCAGCCCTCCTCGTGCGCGGAGCAGCGCGGCAGGCACGCGCCAGCGCAGGCCTGCACCTTGAAGCCGAGGAGCCGCGCCACCTCCCGCGGGCTGAAGTACCGCAACCGGCCGAAGAAGCCGCTCATGGCGTACTCCCCCAGCACCGGGCTCGGCTCGGCCGCCCGCTCGGGCATCACGAGCGCGCTGCCCGTGCCGTTGACATACTTCCCGTACGCCTTCGTGAAGCAGAGGGAATGCCGGCAACCTCCGTGCACGACGTCGAAGCAGCGGGCCGACTCCTTGCTCAGCGTGCTCTCCGGCACGAGCCACGCCGCAGCCTCGGCGGTGCACCCCTCGGGAACGCACAGACCCGCGTCAATGCAAACTCGGGCCAGTGGGCCCTTGTGGGCCCTTGCAGGACCCGGCAAAATCTTGCAGGATCTTGCAGGGTCCTGGGCGCAAGCCCATGCCAACGCAACCCTGGCTCTGCAGGATCCTGCAGGATCCGGCGCTCTGGCCGACCCCCGTCTGCATTGACCCCGTCTCAAGGCTCCCGACCTCGTCAAGGAACTCGGCCACCGGCGCGATCCCGTACCGGCAGCCGAGGGGGCCCTCCAGCAGCGCCGGCGGCGCGTCGAAGCCGCAGGCCGAGCAACGGGAGCGCGCCTCCTCCTCCAGACGCGCGGCAAGAGCCCCGCGGCAGGACGCCGCAGCGGCGGCGGCGACTGGGCAAGGCAGTGAAGTCCACGGCTCACAGGTGGCGCCTTCGAGCCCATCCTCGGGCAGCGGGATCGTCGCAAAGGGCCACCTCTCCAGCTTCGCAACCAGGTAGAAACGCTGGCGGGCGTTGGGGAATCCGAACTGCCTCGGGCTAAGCAGGAAGCCTCGGCATCCGTAGCCGCGGCAAGCCAACGCTTTCAGCAACATGCCGCACGACTCGGACGTTTCAAAGTTGCGCACGTTCTCAACTACCAATGCATCGGGTGGGCTCTCGATCTGCTGCAACACGGAGATCACATGGATCAAAGGTCTGGCCCTCTGGTCCTCCGTGTCCCGGAAATTGCCCTGGCGGGTGTACGGCTGGCACGGCGGGGACATGGTCCAGATCCGGCACCTCTGCTCCTGGAACCACGACACGGGCAAGCTGGTGATGTCTAGAGGAAGAAATCAATTCATAATCATAAACTTTCGGAGCTCCGCGCGGAGTTTTTGGAGCCGCCCTGGACCCCCTCCCTGGCACGCGGAGCGCGCCAGGGGCGGCGCCGGCTGCACCGCCAGGGTGGTCCAGCGCCGACCCAAGAAATCCGCGCGGGGCTCCGGAGGTTTTTGCTTGTGCGTGCTGTGTTTTCTTCTTCGGATGTCACGGTTCACGACGCCATGGGCCCCGAAGTTGTGCTCGTACACGCGGAGCGCGGCCTGGTTCACCTCCACCGCGGTGGCCTCCACGTCGAGTCCCGCGTAGGACAGCGCCAGGCGCATGCCGCCGATGCCCGCGAACAACTCCAGAACGCGCAAGCGCTCGGGCGGCTCCAAGGATCCGCCGCTGTCGGGGCCAGACCGTGCGGCCCCCCCCGCAGCGGCAAGCAACATGCCGTGAGGAAGAGGAAAGGATCGGGGGCTGCCAGAGGCGTCCCTGCCCAAGGTTTCCCCAGGATTTCCAAGGAGGCCCCCACGGCCTCGAGAGCACCCCTCGTAAGGCCCAGAGGGCATCGGAGGCACCAAGATGGTGCGAAAATCTGGGAGCACCGTGGGCCAGAACCACTTCTAGCAACACCCAAGAGGACGAAAGGACAAACGCCAGCCCCTCTGGGGGTGCGGGAGCTGTCGGGCAGCTGGAGCCAGTGGCTACGGAGGGCGGGAGGAGGGCGTAGGGAGGGGGAGAGGGAGGCGGGATGAGAGGGATAGGCAGGGAGGATGTCTCGATACGTCTACGAGAGGGAGATGTGGCGTTGCCACACTCCCTCGCATGGGAGATATTTCGGAGGAGTAGGGGACGAGCTGGAATGGAGAGCGGGGACCTGACGAGAGGGGAGGGAAGGATGGCGGAGAGTCGCGTTGGAGCACTCCGCGGCTTACGAGTAGCAGCAATCCCAATGTGGTGGATTACGTGTCGATACACCAGGCCGACCCAGCTGAGACTGGCGAGGCCCCTGTGCTGTACCGACACCTGCGGTGAAGGCATTGGATGAAGAACCATTGGATAAGGAATCCAGGATCTAGAGGCCGATGGAACTCCGATCGTGCATCTGGCGCGTATCTCACCGCCATTCTCAACCAGGGATAACCAGGGTCTGAAGCCTCATGGGCACATTCCTTAACTAACGAAAACTCTCACCGTACGAAGCAGCCACGTGCTCTCCGAGGGATCTTCGGCCTGCGGCACTGCTTTGAAGCAGCACGAGGCAGCCGAGGTGAGACCACCCGGTGGAAGCTCGCCACAACCACTTTCCAAACATGCCCGCCCCGGGCTCGGGAGGAAGCCGACGAGATGCCACGTGCCTCTCAGGAGGGTACACGTTCTCGGCCTACTCCTCGGAGCCTCGACGGGCCTCCTGGGTACTCCTGGGGCGTCCTGGACTCTCCAGAGCCCTGCTGGCCCTCCCGTGGCGTCTCCCCGTGTCCTCTCCACGCAGTGCGCTCGAGGATCCTCGGATCGCGTGTTAGCGCCATCGTGTGCTCGTCCGCCGATGCCCTCCAATACCACGCAGGCGGCATACTCCATGAGGGCCGACACAGGCTGCGTGCTCTCGGCCTCTCGGTTGAGCTGAACGGGGCTTACTTTTTTACGTCGCAGCGCGGCAGAGGCAATTCCGCTCGCGCGCTCAGGCGGTCCGAGCAACGGAAAGCGCAACTTGACCGGCAGGCGAAAGCGGCCGCGAGGAAGGAGGGAGGGAGGGAGGGAGGGAGGGAGGGGTGGGCGCTCACATTGGGCCAACACACATTGGGCCAGCACACGTCCTGAGCATCATCGACGCGCTCACCGCGGAAGAGAGGGACGATACGTGGCCGGACCCGCCTTGCCATAGCTTGACCGTCGGTCGGAAGAAGCGGGTAGAAACATGAAGTAGGAAGGCGCTAGATGTAGATTGGGCTTCCGCCCGCCCCCAGAAGGGAAGGAACAGATAGGAACACTCGATGATTGAAGTCGGAAGTCGCTAGAAATAGATTGGGATCTGGGGATCCGAAAATACCTACTTTCAACAACTGGCGTGCACCTTGGTTTGTCATCGCCCGGCGTAGCGTAGCATGTCTTTCGGAGTGACTGCAACTATACTGGACGGCCTTGACCTGGGGTATTACTTAATGCAGCTGGCCCAGAATTGGACTGGAAAACTCAAACTTGTCGGCCCCATTCGTTTGCGCCAGCGGATTTGGGGTGTTCTCACCTCATTGTAGGGTCCATGCCTGCACGCGCCTCAGCAATCCATGCAACGCGATTCGCGGAACGACTACCAAAGGGGGTACGGTCGACAGGGCCACTGGAACACACAGCAGTTCTCGGTCCTCTGACCTTGATCCCAACGCTCCATGGAGGTCAGGCCTGCTGAACCGGGTGCCAGTGCTGCCTCTCCCTCCTTATCGACCTTCTTCGTGGTTGTCCTCCTTCTCCTCCTCCTCGTCCTCTTCTTCCCCCTCTCCCCCCTGGGAGCACAGACAAGCGGCACCACCAACATCGCCACGATCAGCCAGGGAGGGCCTTCCTGGGTTGCGAGGCCCCCACGTTCTGCGGCGCCCCGTCCGAGGCGCCTCTAGCACTTTCCAGCTCGGGGGGGGCTCCTGGACCTCCCCGCCAGAGCGGTGGTGTCGCGTCTCCTTCCTCCAGTCCCCCCTTCTTCTCCGAGCGCCAGGCATCGTGGATAGAGTTCCGCATGCCTTTGTCATGTTCCAATCGTCGCCATCCTGTTTCGCGGTTTTGGGCCTCTCAGAGTGGGGCCGTGGGACAAAATCCCCGACGTTACTCGGGAAACGCGAACCTGGGGTCCATAGTACGACGGGCTCTACTTCGGAAAAGGGCGGGGATCAACTTCCAGAGTGAAATTCCGTACCGCTGTCTGCCAGGTGAGTCGGACCCCCAGGCATAGAGGAGCAAAACATGGCAAAGGCAGACACTGTCGAAGGTCCGCGCGGATTTCTTGGATCGGTGCTGGTCACCCCCGTCCCTGCGCGCGGAGCGCGCCAGGGGTGGCGCTGGAAGCGCTGCGAATGGGGGCTCCCGCGCCGATCCAGGAAGCCAGAAAAGACCCTTGACCATGCATACTTTTGTCGGAGGTTGGGGGTGTGACACAGAGATGAAGCGGAGTCGCTCAACCAAGACATCGCTTTCGTTTTTGATTCCGGGTCGTATCGCGCGTGCAGGCGAAACGAAGCAACGCAAGCTCCTGACTGCACTGGCTGGGCTCAAGCCGCGCCAGAACAAATCGGGTCCCCGTGCGCCAAGGTTGTCTCCAGTTGTCCCGGTGGTTGTCCCGATGGTTGTCGCGATGGTTGTCATAATGGCTGTCCCGATGGTTGCGCGGGCACGCGCTAACAAGGATTCGGCATCGTGGATCTGGCCCGTTGTCGACAGATCCATGGATCGGGAAACAGACCTCCGAAATATGAAGCCGATGCCGCCTGACTTGGTCACGAGGCGCGCCGATTCTGTATGCAAGCGGGGACCGCTGCTAATCCACACGCCTTAATCCATGTTTGTGCTTCCTCGAGAATTGTTCCGTGTGTTACGAATAATGCAAACCATTCCTCCCCCACCCACACCCACACCTCCTCGTCACCGGAAGGGCCGCAGGGTGGCCCTACAGCCGAAACGCTGAAATGAAATCCATCTGGGCTCAGGAGGGGCTCGGGCCGCTCCTTTATAGCTATGTCGTGAAACCTGTTCGTGGCTGAGAGTTGCCGTGGCCAGAACAGCCCTTTCGCTGGTCATGCGGTGCCCAATGACTGCACAGGTAGGTTTCACGCTGGCAGGCGGTGCCCCGTCCCCCGCCTTCTGCGGCGTGACCATGTCGTCGGAAGCCATCAGGCAACTCAGGGTCGCCGAGGCGTCGGCACCTCTCATAACGGGGCGCCCGCGCGCGCGGTGCTGCGATGGGGGGGGTCATTAAGGATGATCCTCCTCATCATATTATTATGTCCTTCTTGTCCACTTTCTCTTTCCTCTTCCTCTACAGATATTCTCGTCATGCGCGCTCTCTCCTTCTCCTTCCTCCTCCTCCTCCGCGACCGATTGCCTCCTCTTTCTTCCACAAACATCCGGCGCCTCATAGTTCCATGATGTCGGCCCCCAAACCTCTCGACGACTGCCTGGGGGCCAATTTGCCATACTGGGTCATTTGCCGATGGTCATTTTGGCCGACAGTGGATTCCCGATACCGGAAACATGAAAGCATCATGCGACGTACCCAACTCATTTGCATCATGTGACGAGAGGAGTTGGCCCACATATGCATGCACAGCGGCACTGCAGGCGCCGTCATTTGTTGCGCAAGCTACATCGGGCACGCGCACGCAGCGCGACCCACTGGACAGCGATAGAAGAACGAGGAGCGAGGCCCCAAGCTCGAAAGGAAACGGGACGGGAACGAAGGGTAGGAGAAGGACGCGAAAGGGAACCGAAAAGCCATTGCAACAGCAGCAGCAGCAGCAGCAGCAGCAGCAGGGAGACGTTGGAAAGGAGAAGGGGACGACAACGAAAGAGATGGGATGAGGCGACATATTTTTCGGTGGCGCGCTGGGCAAGCAGCGCTGCCCGCGCCATGCTGTCTTGGCGTTCCATAGGGAATTGTGTCCATAGCTACTGCAAGCAGCGAGCTAGGCCGAGCTCGCCCGCCCAACTTCTCCGCCGCCTTCCTGCAACCCAGTGCGGGAGCTAAACGCCCGCATGCGCGCCGCCAGGTCTGCGGGCGGCCCGCGGGGAAGTAAATCAAGGCTGGGCTCGGGTATCATCAGCAGGTTGTCCACCGTCACGGCCCCTGAGAGTAGCACGTAGAGATGCAGCCAAAGGGTGTCAAAGCCCCAAAGTAGGCAGCCCTCAAGGGATGGCGAGGTCTATCTGAATCTGCGATGATAGGTCACTATGCTGCTGGAACCCCCAGCAGCTCTCGAAATAGGCGACGGTTTCCCAGTTTTCGACCCCCTCTGAGGAAAGGCAACGTCTAATCTGAATCTGCGTAAAGCGTCACTCCGCTGGACACGCAAGCAGCTTCCGGAATTGCGACAGTTTCGCACGTCGCAGCCCCTCAGGGATGGCGAAGTCGAATCTGAATCTGAATAAGGCGTCATTTGGCTGGACCCCCAGCAGCTCTCGAAAGTGGCGACAGTTTTGCAATTCGCAGTCCCCCCAGGGATGGCGAGGTCGAATCTGAATCTGCGTAAGGCGCCACTCCGCTGGACCCCCAGCAGCCCTCGAAATTGGAGACGTGTTCACACTTCACAGACGCCCAGGAATGGCGAGGTCTGATTTGAATCTGCGTGAGGCGTCACTCCGCTGGACCCCCCAGCAGCCCTCGAAAGTGGGGACACTCTTGCAGTTCGCAGCCCGCTAGGGATGGCGAGTTCGAATTTGAAACTGCGTGAGGCGTCACTCCGCTGGACCCCGAGCAGCCCTCGAAGGTGGCGACA